AGCAAATTTGACAGATCTATGCGCTTGGAAAAGGCCTAGCAGGAAGCCCGTCAACCAACACAGAGGAAGAGCTAAAGTCACCCTAAACCAGGGGGCACACACCAATGCATGTGGCCGAGCCAGACAGAACATGGGTTTGTCCGCTCCAACCCAGCACGGTGGGCACTCAAAAGAGCTCCAGCCACAAAATCAAGCCAGCCTTGTCCCAAAGAAAAGCACAGCCTGATCCCAGCCCGGGACTCCAAAAGAGGGTAATTCACGAGCCTTGTCTTTCATGTTAACTAACAGAGTTCTAAGAGTGTTTTGGACCGTTGCAATTCAGTGAGCAGGCACCAGTCTCACATGTGAGCCAGTCAGACAGAATGGGAACCTTACTGGGACAAGACCTCTCCGCACTAATATACATGGCTCAAATAAACCCATTCTTACACAAACTGATCATCTTATTGCACCAGGAGATAGTAAACCCATTAGAAGATGAACAATCTGATACTCTAACCCCGGGCTATGTGCTGAATAATTCACCTACAACTTCAAAACCCGCAGAGAAGCAAGAAACCCTGTTAGTCACAGATCTTCAGGATCAGGAAAAGTCTTTAATCACTTTAATTCTTCTTGGGGAAAAAATATATTTTAAAGGAGGGCCAGGCATCCATAAAAGCAAATGGATCTTGCTTAAATAGGGCAGATGGAGTTGTGCAACATTAAATTAAATATTCTCATTCTATGATGCAACATGCACAGCCCAGCTGAGCAATGTGTTTCCTACACATCTACATAGTGTCCTCTTAGAGTAAATCCCCACCTGTTCTACTGTGTCAAGAGCTCTGAGGAGTTACAGAGTAAGGCAGCTTGCCTTGCCAGAGATTTCTTCCACTATATTTAATTTGTGAATTGGGAATGCAATTTCTTGTACAAACACAAAATATAATTTACATGTTTAACCAGATTTTCTCAAGTGAACCTTAATATTGTGCCCTTGACTTTGCCTTCACTTTATGCATTCAGCTTTTTTTGATGATGATAACAAGTGCTTCCTTCTAGATGTCAGGTGAAAAATGCCTCAAAGGCACCAGAGGTTGAATAACAATATTCAAATATCTCAACTGCATTTAAGGAAACGGACTGGAAAACTGAAACCGTATGGTACATATGACAGGAAATACTGTTGTCCACAAACACAGCAGAAGCAACCGTCTCAGACATCTCTTAATGCTATGATGGTTTCTTGAATTTGCACAAAGCCAAGCATGGTTTCCCCAACTGGATTCATAAAGCCACATCAATTTTAGTCTGATTAAAGACTCATTCAAAACCACAAGAAGCAAAACAATGTTAAGTTTACTATGACTGCCACATTCCTGTGAGTGCTAGTACTGAAGATGAATGAAGTCCACATGGTTCCTTGCATATGGAATACAGCTCTGATTAATATTAGGAATGTGCACCCCTTTATACAACTGCTTCTTGATTAATGCCGAACGGATTGCTATGTTCCAATCTAATATCTGTCTTGAACTTAATATGTGGAAATTTCATTTTGAAGTGTACCAAAAATGTTAGAAAATTAAACAAAGTGTCTGGTTCATGATGTCAGTGGATTTCAAAGCACAATCACTTTTGGTCTTAATGTGCCTTGCCTTAAAACTTTTGTCTTTTTTTTTTTTTTTTTTAAAGTCAGCTCTCAAAAGAACATAAACCAGCCATAGCGGTTCGTCAGTGTCCTGGTCATTAAAGAAGGAAACAGTGTAAGGACACCAGGAGAGAGACAAAGGTTTAGTGTGTGTGTGCATCAGATGATGAAGTCATGTAGTAAGCTCAAAACCAGTGACTCTAGTCCCAGCATTTATGTGCCTAGAAGCTGTATTTTGATCACTGTACTAGTCTAAAGCACGGTAGCTTGTAGATGTCTAACATTAAATATGCTTTGTAGAAGATAGCCTCTGATAGATAATTCACAACTTATCCAGAGCTCTCCTCTGCTTTCCAGTGAGGGAGAAACGTCCTGCTGAGGAGCACCAGGCTGGGGGACGCAGTGACAGACAGGAGACCTGAGCTGCTGTCCTGGGGAGCCTCAGCAAACTGAAGGAACAGCTCGACAAGAACTTCAGGAAGTTTAGAAATGCCAGATGCAGTCCCACACGTGGGTCAGAATAACTCTGTGACAGTATGTGCCGGGGCTGACTGGCTAGGAAGCAACTCTGCAAAAAAGGGGCTTGGGGTCCCAGTGAGCACCAAACGAGTACAAGGCAGCAGTGTGTACCTGTGGCAAGGAATGTCAACAACACCTTGGCCTCCATTAGCAAGAGTGTGGCCAGCCAGTCACGGGAAGTGGTAATTCTATTTGGCCCTTGCAAGGCCACATTTGGAGTAATCACAGTACCAGAGAGACATCAACAGAGTGGAGATAGTCTAGAGCAAGGCTACTAGACTTGGCTGGGGGCTGGAGAATACAACATAAACAAGAAAAGGTTGAGAGAACAGGGACTGTTGAACCAAGAGATATCAGGGGGAATGACCTAACTGCTGTCTTCCACTACCGAGAAGGGGGTACAGAAAAGATGGAGCCAGATGCTTCTTAGAGGTACATGGTGAAAGGATGACAGACAACAGTCACAAATAGCAACAGGGAGAATTCTGACTGGATAGAAAGAAAAATTCCTTCACAGTGATATCAAGAAAAAATTCTTCTCAGCGAAGGTTAAGCAGTGGAGCAGGCTGCAGAGAGGGGCAGTGGAACCACCCTCCTCAGATATTTTAAAAACTCAACCAGACATAGCCCGGAGCAACCTGATCTAACTGTGAAACTAGTCCTGCTCTGAGCAGTGGTTGGATCAGCTGACTCCACAATCCCTTACAACCTGATTCTTTTTTTTTTATGATTCTGTCTTATGCTAGAGTGCTTAGAACATTGCTCAAGATTTACAGCCTTTTTTCTCATCTCTTAACATTTACTTGCATTAAAAATTTTAATTCTACAGGGGGCAGGGTGGGAGGGGACTTTATTGAGTTTATTTCTACAGTAATAATGTTTTAACTACCTATAAGCTTTTAGGGAGGCAGGAGATGCAACGATGTATAGACAAAACACCCACCACCTTCAGGGCAACTGTTTGAAAAGAAAACCCAAAGCAGCAGTGACAGAGTCCTTTACAGCTTTGAAGCAGATGTAAATCTATAAAATAAACTCAGTCTTACAGACACCTGGTCTGCATGAGTACAAATGTGCTACTCAGAGACTGGGGTCTAGAACTACTGGTATAAATTATGCAGATGTAATACACAAAACTACGATAGTTTCTTTAAAGCCGGAGATCAAACTACTCTGGCTTGTCTTTAATCACGCTTGACAGTTTATAAGAATTATACTGATTTGGCATTCTCCCCACGCTGCCTGTATTGAATGAAGTGCTTTGGAAAGGGGCTGTTAAAAGCAGTACAAAACAATGAAGTTCTGTGTTGTCCCACAGATCTGAAATTCTGCATTCTCTTCCCACTGCCCTGCCAAAATGCCCAAACTGTAATCTGCAGGGAGCTGGCTGATAGTTCCCATGAGTTGGAAGAGCCCATTATGATTTTGTTTTATTGAATGCAAGATATCTTGTTTGAAGAAAGCTTCTTATTTTATTTTGATATTCAACAAACCAAAGCAAGAAAAGAAGCATTACCACCTAGCATCTGGCAGCATGTTGACAGGTCCTGAGCAAAGATAAGCACTGTAATTAATGCACAATGCATTTTCAAGTGTGAAGTGCATGGTGGTCTGACTGTTCAGGGAGAAGGCTGATGATCATATATGGATGGCCTCCACAGAAAACATTTTTTAGTACCTACATAAGCTCTCATTTTTATTAACAGACACTGAACAGCAGCATTTTTTTGTGTTCTGAAAGCAGTTTTTTGAACATCTAGAAGGAAAAAAATGGAAAGAGTAAATTCCTGTTATCACTGAGGCTGACAAGCCAGAGACAGAATTTGTGCATGAGGACAAACAGCCCTAAGCTGCAATTTGTGGCCACCATTCCTTGCTGTGTCAACTGATATACACCAAGAGTTTTGTTCTATCGTTTTTGTTTGCCCTTCAAACATTTGTAAGCAGTATTAGACTGCCTCTGGTCCTGTTTTTACCAGACTAAACAAGCCCAGCTTGTCAGTGTCTCTTCAGAGGATGTGTGCTCTAGGGTCCCTGACTATCTTGGTAGCCCTCCAGTTTTCAGTAGATAAAGATTCATTGTCCAAAGTAAAATGAAGTACCCTTTGTATCTGTTGTAATAATACAACACTGAAAGAGTTAAAAACAATGCAGATATTCATCACTGGTGTGGAAAATCTGTGCTCTGAAGGGCTGCCCAATTTTCTATAATTATAATAACTTTTTTGATGTTAAAAGAATGTATGCATAGGCCATATATTTCCTTCTAAGACCAAAAGAAACATGTTTTTCTTGTGAAGCTTAATCAAAACAGTGTTTTTGTTGCACATTCCTGATGGCTCTATAGCTAAAGGAAATTAATTTTTCTTTAACCAGCAACTGGGACCGAGGGGTGACCAGGATTGGTGCTACAAACAAATGCTCTGGAGCAGTCCACACAGGAGTCCGGAAAAGCTCCGGCTGACTATACAAGGCCTGTGAGGTTAATTTTGCTATTAGACAGTTCTGTAACCTCGAGACAGAGTTCAGTTCTTTACATTTTTACACCACTCAAGGCTTCAAGCCCAGGCCTTGGTAAGAAAATGGTTTGGTTCTTAAGAAACATGGCAAAAAGCTGACCAAAAAGTTTGTTTCCAATACCACCTGATGACGTCCCAAAGAATCAAGACCTCCTGCATGCACACTGAGAGTTATGTTTGCATGCATAAAACCCATTTACGCTCCATTTAATTTCTCTTCACTGACATCATGGAATGTTCTTGCACAGGGCATGTGTTCAACAATACATGGTCTGACCACAATATCTCAACATCCCACTGTGAGCCGATGTACTGCAACAGGTTCTTACCTACAATGTCTTCATAGGCATTTTCTTCTAAAGTGCTCTTGGATCCAAATTTATGCTGGCTCTCAGTCCCATTTTCAGTTGGGGAGGGAGGGTACAGGGACTGCAGACTGGATGCATCCTCAAACTCAAAGGATTTTCTGAAGTTTAAAACAATAAGTAATTAGTAACTGGCATGCAAAATTGCTCAAACACATAGCTGAGCATTGTTTGCTAAGAAATATATAATAAATGACCAAAAAAACCCAAATTACACATTGTGCTTTAAAGACTAACTTACGGAGGACCACAGGTCCTGTACTCAGCAGTTTTTAGTCTAGCAATCCGTGACACTTATGAGGTTGGAAGAATTGGTATCCCCATTATGCAGACAGGGAGAAAATACCAAGAATGTATGATATTTTTCAAAAGTTACAGAGTAAGTTAGCAGCACAGTCCTCAGATTAGAAACTGCTTTGCTCTTGCCAGGGGCCCCAGAAACATGTGGCCATCTTTCCTCAAGAAAAAGACATTTCTCTGGAATGTGTTCATCCCATGGTTGCTCTGGGAGATGTAGCCCTTGGTTTGAAAACACTCACATGTCTTCAACCTCTAGATATGCTCCCGCATAAAGGTCAGTGTACAAATGCCAGAGGCAGACTCATGTGAAAGTCAGCCATTGCGCTTGCACACCCTGCACCAAGCTCTGGCAGCAAAGGACAAAGCACAGAGGAAGTGAAGGCTCTCTGGGATAGACGAGCAGCCCAGGCTGAGGGCATGAATGCTCAGGCTTTCTGGCAGGAAGGTAAGGGGCAATTGGGTCAGATGAACCCACACAACCTGTCTCCCACCCACGTACTCGAAGGAGTGGCGAGTCACCATCTCTCACCCACTCCTGTCCCAGTGCTGCTGAGCAGCTCTGGGTGAAGAGAAGCCCAAGCCTTCCCCATTCTCCAGTTTGCCCAGCACTTCTTCACTGAGGTAACATCTACACTTGTTGGGGGGTACATGGTTTGCATTGCCAGCTGTATGAGGGTTGCAATCATTTGATTGATTTAGGGCTGAGGAGGAAATGGTATGAAAATTGGGCTCAGAATTATAAATCCTGGGGTGCTATATGGCTTGCAGAGACCGTGCTGATGCCCATACTTCACTCATTGATACCCAAACTAGATTAATGGTAAATCATCCTGCCCTCAACCCCCTTTCCTCTTCTCCCAAGCTGGAGTGAAATACATGTCAACAGCATATCCATATGGCAGTGTCTCACGAAACATGCTTCAGCCTGTTAATTGGCTCAGAAGTATCCCTACAGGCAATACAGTAACTATCGTACAGACACTGCATTGACAAGAGCATTTCTTATTGCTGGGGCAGACTCATGGGTCTGGGGCAGGCTTAGGAGGCCCCTCTCTCCTTTCTGTAATCTTAAGAATAGTCAGGTCCCTGTTACACACATCAGGACCATGGTAGAAACAAGCATTGCAGTACAGATCCAGACATCCGCTCCTCCACACACAGTTATAAAAGATCCTTAGACACTGAGGACAGACCTGTTTATGAAATGAGACTTTCTAAAGCAGTTAAATATCCAACCCTCACAGATTTCAAGGAAACGCCGCAATGCAGTGACAGTGCTTAGAACCACGGAAATGGTTTTGTGGACTGGCACTCAGCTGTGGTCCATGTGTCCCACACCTGTGCCACTCCTCTCCCACACTGTGTCTGTGCCAGAGGATCTCCAATCACCAGGGAACATCTAGCTCACAGCAGTCTAAATTGTAGAAGCTACCATGGGCACCAGGTCCTCTGAATACAGAGGCTGTATGCTAGCAGGCAAATATGAGAGACTTTCTCCATTTTATTATAATGTTGAATTAGCCACCACAAAGAAAACCAGTGTTTTCAACCAAAATATTAGAAAAAATATCCACAGTCCATTTTCATGACATTCTGGTGAGTGCAAACCACATGTATATTCGATCTGAAACACACAGCCACAAGCTGTAAACATAATGAATTATGTCTGTTCTCAAAATCAGAACAGTTCAGAGACTGAGATTTCAGTAACTAATATTCACAAAATACTGTCATTCTTGGATGACTGGTAGAGTCAGAAGTGCTTTGTAAATGCTGGAATTCTTACTGTAACTCAGGGAAAAACAGTAGCAAAGACAACAAAGTTGAGATTTTATACAGGATTTCCACCCAGCCTTGAGGTCAGCTGGCAAACCTGTGATTTTAGGAGGTTGACTTAAACTTACTTAGATCATCATTAACCAGAATAAGTCCAGAGAAATCATTAAACTACAGCAGGATAAAGCTGTTACAGGCAAATGGAAACCTACCCTACACACTGTCAAACTGATTTGGAAGCACCATCAGGTACACCTGATAACACAGTAAACCCTACAACTTAGACTCCACTAATCACAACTCCAATCGATAAATATTGCTTTTGTTTGGGGCTCGTACCTACCAGCCTCCCCCACGGCCCCATTGCTGAACTGTGCTGTTGTCTAACCCCACTCTGACGGGTGACTGGACCCACAGAACTGCAGGTGCAAGCATGAACCGTACGTCATCCTGAGAGACGTTTCAAAACTTCATCTCAAAAACCCATTGTAACAAACTACAGCGGTTCTTAGAGGACTTGTCCCAAACTCACTGTGAGTGTTTACTCGGAGTTTACTGACTTTATGTAGCCGCAGTGATTCTATGCAAGAATTGCCTCCTGTCATTCATTCCTCTCCACCACTCACCCAAGACCATTTTACCACTTGCCCCTTAAGTTTCCACTAAAGGCTTTTATAGCAGAAAATGTAAATATTATTGTTTGTCTTCTGTACATTGGAAATGCTGTGCTGAACAACATGAGGTCAACTTCATTTCATAAATTCTGGTTAAAACCTAGATTTACTTTCTCTAACTGAGATTATTGCCAGAACACAAACACAAGCACTGCTAATCAGAGCTTGACTTTCCACATTTCGCCCCTCCTGCTCCCTCTTTCTCAAACGAACACCACACACCAGCAGAGCTGTTTGATTCATTTCAGAAGCAGGTGTTTCTTCAAAGAATCTGAAAGCTCCTCTTCTCCTGCCCCAGCGTACTTCAGGTCAGGTTGTGCTGACATACACTTTTAATTAACAGAGCCAACATCAAGCACCAGATACTGCATTGATAGCGTGCATTTGAGATGCTGCTTACCAGCGCTGAGCAGTTGCAAAGCTCATCACTAAACATCAAGTGTGTGTGTATGATATGCATGCACAGATAGGTGAACTTGTTAAAAACGCTGCACTCTGAACGCTTAACAACAACTATGCCTACAATTTTCTAAGTGGTGAGCAGAATGAGTTGTACCATTTCCAAAAAGTCAAGGGGACTCACGTAGTTAAAACAAGCCAAGCTCCACAGACTGCTGGGAAAATGTAGCCACATACTCTGCTCAGTGTTACTCAAGAAAGATATAAAGGCCGTTCTGTGCTAAACCATATTTTTCTTGCATTAATTCTCTACAGCTGTTGATACTTAGGCCAACATTTCTAAGCACTGAATTAAATAAGATCGCCAACATTGCATAAAACTGACGGAACTGCTGTGGTAACAAGATTTGGGTACACAAACCCTCTGCAGGTATGTTTTGCAGTGAACAGGCAGACAGGACTATGACAGGTCAGCTATGGTCCTGCATAAGAGGATAATGGAATGACACTCCTTTAAAAATCCCAAGTAAGGGCTTATGTGCCAAAATGTGCAAGATAACCTTAGCCCACATGACCTAGAGCTTTTTCCAGGGATCGAGGAATGCAGGTTGGAGAACTCCAGAACTGTAGCCATGTAAAGGTATTGTACCAGTGCATCCCATCAGTGCAGTCCAGAGGAAAAAACACTTGTCTTGTAGGCAATTCCTAGCATTTCTCAGATCAAAAGCATTGCATTAGAGGGAGAATTTAAAATATTGTTACTAAAAAAACACAGCACATTTATTTATTTGAAGATTGAGTACAAGACATTTCCTTGAATTTTACCTATTCTGGGACTTTCTGTGAAAGCGCGACTCTTTCTTCTGCCTTCTGGTCACTGGGGGTGCCGGGGTGGACGGGAGGGGAGGAGGGGCAGCAGGGGTAGGAGATGGAGGTAGGCCATTGCTTGGTTTACTTTTGTGGTTTTTGTCTGCTTCGTATTCAAAGGTGCGTTTGGGCTTGGGGACAGGATTCACCGCGGTGTTAGCTGGGCTCTCGAGGAGCAGTTTAGGGCCAGCGGAGTTTGCAGTAAGCCCCTGTTTTGTCTTACTGCTTTTCTCAGCCTCAGTAAGTGTTTCTGGTTCGCTCCCCGAAATAACACTCCCTCCTTTGCTATCACTCAGGGTTTCACTCAGTCCCTCCACAGTACTCAAAGTCACAGACTTTTTCCTCCCTTTGTCAACACTGTAACAGCTACTCGGTAACTGGGGGAGGCCTCTGCCAGGCTGCTCTTTCAGTGCCTGCTCAATCTTCTGTATTCTGTTGAGCACGGCAGAGGACTCTTTCCTGACATGGCCCTTGAGGAAAGTGGCAGAAGGAGGCTCGCTCCTGCCTGCTCTCTTCTCGAACCGATGGCAGGAATCCCTGTCCAGCAGTTCCTCCTCCTCTGTTTCCGGGTAAGAGCACTCGGAAAATGTTCGGCTCATTCTTCTGAGCCCTTTGAAATCAAATGTCTTTTCGCTGCAGGGAGAGGTCAGGACACTGGGGCAGCTCTCACTGCCCGACCTCTCCCCAGCATCCCTTTTGTCCACAGCCGTGCTCATCCTGGGGGATGGCTCCCGGCGGCACTCCCATTCTGTGATCTTCTGCCTGATGTCCAGCGGCTGGGAGCGGACGCTCGCCCGGCTGAGGGACAGGTTCCTCAAGTTGGTGGCAGTGCCCAAGGACAGAGTACTCCGGGCGAGCGGATGGCTCCCTACCGTGTCCCCATCTTGCGCCTCCTTTGGACTCTCCTTTTGGTCCTCAGCCTTGAATACGGACAGCCTTTTATCCAAAGCGCCCACACTGACGGCTTTGAGAGGGTGGCTCGGGGAGTCGGTGTCCGATGGGCTCGTGGAGGTGCTTCGCAGTGTAGATGTGCGGCTGCTCCAATCCTTGAGGCGCAGTCGGGAGTTGGAGACTTTGGTGAGCCGAGCAGAGTGGCAAGAGTCCTCGCTATCGCTGAGGGGGTAGGCTGGGCTTCTTCGCGGGGACAAAAGAGGCGGTGGAGAGACTGACTGACACCTAGAAGTAGAAAGAAATAAAAAATCAAGTCCTTGGGGAAACTAGAGTTATTTGCCAAATTTCTTCTGGCTGCTGGTAAAGCAGAGGATGTCTGCACACTGCAAAATTAACCAAAGCACTGCTAAGTCACCAAATGCCAGAGGGTCAAAAATAACTCAATAATTTGCAATCTTCCATACAAGCATTGTAAAGCAAAACATTTTTATTGAAGTTTTCTACATACACAATGATACATGCAACACCTTACAAAGGATATCATTACACACACCTTCAAAATATTACATATAAACCGCATAAATAAAAACGGCGGAGTCAAATTTAGATTTCTTATCCAGTTCACTTGAACATCACCTTCTGTCTGGGCAATGACATTTCTTTGAGAATATCAGCATTTCACAAATCCCACGACAATAAATTGGGTATTCTTCCAACACGCAGCCTTAGGTGCGCAGGTCTCGAACCACTGGCAAGTCAGCACTGAACTGCAGGGTCAAAGGTGATTCACCTGCCAAGCAGCCCACAACGTTTTGTAGACAGGTCACAGATCCTGAAACTACCTTCCTGGTGGGACCCGCTGCTGCACAGTGAGAGGAGCAGAGAGAATCAAGAGAGGTGGTTTCCAGCCCTCTAGACCATGCTTAGCTTTGCCATTGTGAGTTGTTCCCTGAAAAATCTTTAAAGAATCCTTTAAAGTTCCTTTAAAGATCACGTAGTCAAACGCCCCGCCATGGGCAGGAATATCAGTGACAGTCTGTAGGATTTTGAAATCTAGATGCAATTGAGCTATAAACTCTTCTTCAGTCTCTTCTCTCCAGTTTCACTTTTTCTCATCCAAACATAGGAGAAACCTTTAATTTACACAAACTGTACATCTCCAGGCCTGCTCTCAAATAAAGTTATGCCTTCCCTGGACAAGTGTATGTATTCATACTGTTGTCTCTAATAATGGCTAGTATCAACAGGCATATCCTTTTACCAGTTACAATGAACACCCCTGGGGCACAGTGGAACTGTACCTCATCTGCATCAAGAAGAGAACAGAATCACTTGCCACATCGTTTTGAGATTATTTTCACCCTATTTATCACAAAGCAAAAGATGAAACAACCGAATTCCTGCTCTCTTTGTGAGGCCTCTAGCAGAGCTGACTTGTACTAAAAATGTATGGTGATGGGGAACGACTGATGTCTGGTGCCTGCGCCCTCATCCTGTATCTGACCCAAAAGTCAGGAGGAAGTCTCTGATTTCGGACAAGGCACTGATCTTTTCCTGCCTGGAAAACATGGGTGCTAACACGTGGCTGTGTGTAGAAGAGGGACAATTTAATTCTTGGAGATAACTCCGAAATCAATACAACATCAGTACCAAAAGCAGTGAGCCTCATCGCCTGATCCAGTTGAGCAGGTGCACAGCTCCTGCTTGCTTCCATTGCCAAACATTCCCTCCAGACAAGAGGATAAACGAATGGCAAAGAGTGCAGACAACTCCCACAGCTTCATGAGATAGCTTTCAACAACAGGAAGCCGCCAGAATGGTGGCCAAAGGACCATGTCTTTTGGAAGTCAGGGTAAGGTGGAGAATAAGAATGTGCATTTATTGAGGAGTCTGCATCCATGACACATACTTTTCATAGACATTAATAACAATATTAAGTTCCATTTCAGACCAGGGATTAAAGGTGACTGGAGGGTGGTTGAGGGACTTGTCTGGGAAAAAGTTACAGGACTCCTAATTCCCACCACCCTGCTCTGACTCCACGGCACTGGTTTAGCTCTCCTGCGGCGTCAGGAGTGACTCCCCTGACCATCCTGTGCTGAGCAAAGACAAGTTGGCAGAAGCTGCTCAGGAACCTTTCAGTTTTGCTAATCCTGTCTGCCCTGCTTAAAACAACACTTACAGAATAAGACAGTTTTTGGCGTTCTTATCCAGGGAATTTCCCACTTCAACATGCTCATACTTGGGAGCCCATTTACTGAAAAAAGAGCAAGTGATGTGTTGACAAAAAGGCACTGGGCCTTTCCAGGCTCCTGTTGATGAGATCCCATCATTTCACAGTAACACTGATGTTTGATGAGCCCACTCAAACTCACATGGCCTTGTTTTCATCCCTCAGGATTTTCTCCCAGTTTGTTAGGAAATACTGCTTTCCTAGTGTTTTATTTAGGTTTTCTGCTTATCCCTTACTTTTTTCAGGGCACTGTGCCATTTCATTGTGCTCAGCTACCAACTTCCAAATTATTTCCAATTATTTTCCAAATTATATGACAAATTATAACATTTTATGATGAAGGATGATCTTAATTTCTTTAAATAAAGAACTTCTCTCAAGGAGAAAATTGCACAAAAATGATAATTTGAAACACTAATTCAATTATCCATTGTTAACACTCCATTGGGAAAAATGGTAAACCCCACACCTTTCTGGCATCTTGTTAGTCTTTTTGGCTACTGAGCAAACAAAATGGATGCGTTTAGGATGAAAAACTGAAATTATCTTTAAATCTGAATGTTGAAAAAATCCTAAATCCTGGGGATTTTATTGTGTGTCCAGATCTTCAACCAGTATAAGCCTCCAAATAGCCTTGAAAGGCAAGTGAAATAGGAAACTCGGAGAACAAGGTATAACTTCTCACCCTAATAAAACACTGTACTTGCACTTTTGTGTTCAGACTAAACTAGATCGTATTATGGGTTCAGACCTGACTTCTACCCATGATTCAGGATACGGTCAGACAGTTAACAGCAACACGGAAAGGTCCCTTGCGTAAGGAACAGCTCCTACTGGTGCCAGCCACAGTGAGTGCGAATACTGGAACCCAGTATTCCTGAGAACGGATGTAACGGTCAGCTATGGCATTCAATTCCATTGAACTTCCACTTGATTTGACATAGTAGGTAGAGGAGGGAAAACGTGTAGAGATCAACAGAAGTTCAAATTAGAACCAGTGTTTCTGTGCCGCTACTGCTGTGACCTGGACAAAGGAAGCACATTCAGTCCCAACAGCTCCTTGTAACCAGTGGAGTTCACACCCCGCCAAGGGCACTGCTGCCAGGAAATCACCCAGCAAACAGACAGAAATGTCCCCGTCAGACACATGCTTGTGAAAGTTCCTGGTACGAATCAATGCTTTTGCACCAATGAAAACTGCACGCACTGCTGCAGTACAGCAAACTTCCAGTCATGCCTCTTCAGGTAAAAAAAAAGCAGAGTAATTGGAAGAAGGCCAAAAAACCTAATGACTTTGAAGCAATAAGGCACACTTCCCCCAAAACCTCTTCCTCTCTGAACAAGAACTAGGAATGATTTCCTCTACGCTCTCCTCCAAAGAGCTATGGGAAGTCCACTTTTAGCCATCAAACACTGTCAGTTAGTGGTTTGGTCGCATTCTGAGATGAGTTATGAAACAAACCCTGGAAAGAGAAGCAAAGATTCAGCATCATTTGGTTGTGACGCTGTGCCATTTGCTTTCAAGTCCTCATCCCCAGCTACATCCTCACTAGTGGGGACAGAAAAGACAGGACCAGTGACTGCTTCAAAGCACTCAGCAAGGCACTAGGGTAAGGCAGCAACAGTAACTGCTCAAGGGACAAACACAGGTTGTCAGACTGGCCTAAGCAGGTTACTGGGTGGTTAGTATGAGGGTCACACGTACAAGCATCACCAAAACACATGGCATGAAATGGCTTTGTTGCTTAGCTGAGATGGCTCAAGAGGATCCCATGTACTGATGATAGTCTGAGTTCTGACATTTTATTTTCAAATACAAATAACCACCTAGGCTTGGACAACTGCCTTGTGTACTCCATCAAAGAAGATGAATTACATCTTGCATTGTATTAATTGTACCAGGAGTAGAAAAGGACTTTAAAAACAATTTTATAGTTACTTCTTGTAACTAGGAATTAAGAGAACATTAAGACCAGACAAAAGGGACCTCCCGCACTACTGAATTTAAATCCAGTTTTGTTTAGCAGTAAAGCTTTCTACTGCAACATATTCTGCACTCCAAGATAGCATACAGTATTTTAATTTTCTGCATAACTCAAGTGGATAACTATAGATGATAATTAATTATCTAAATTTAAATAAGAGCTTATGGTGATTAAGGAGGTGAACTTTTCACACTCAGTGCTGGGCACACAGGAGTAAGGTGTGTTTGAGCTGATTCAACTTTGTAATGAAGCAAGTAGTACAACTTGTCACATCTTGCCTCTCGCTTGGAAAGGCAAGTGATGTAAGTGGCAACAGAACAACCCCTCTTCCACCAGACCCTTTATGATTTTTGAGCTCTCACCAGGAGTATATGGCTCAAAATTCCCGAAAATCTGCATTCCTTATAATCTTCTTCCTTTATTGTTGATTTTGGGATTTTGACAAAAAATACTTTCCAAACTGAAAAGTGAATTTGCATGGTAAGACTGTTTAAAATAGGCTCACTCTCATGAACATGTGCTGGTGATGGAAAAGTCACAGAATTTAGAAAGAAGGAGACAATAAAATCAAACTGAATTCATATCATGAAATGTTTAAAGATAGAACAAAAGTAGAAACACCAATTATTTTTCTGTTTGTACTTCTGAAATTTTTTCCCCGAGGAATTTTGATACTATCCATTTCAATAAAAATTGAGACCATATCAAAACTAGTTACGAAATGATAGGCCACTAGGACTGTGTAACCAAAAAAAAAAATTTCAAGCTCTGCGTGCCATTTTTAAAAGCTCTAGTTTCTGTGCTCCCAGGAAGTACTGCATTAATGATAACAACCATGGGAGGCATTCGTGAGAGTGCTGTGGTGAATTTCTGCGTGTAAGAACCCTCCAGAGCCCTGGGTCTTTGCAGTGGGTTCATGAAGAGAAGCATACAGAAACACAGCTGACGGCAGCTGAACTGGTTTTATGGCTTAGAAGCAAAATGTTTGATTTACACCAATGAAATTCAGGAGTCATTCTGCTGAAGTAAATTACATGATGTGGCAACTATACAAGTGTACAAAAAAG